CCTGGCGGAGCAGTGTGCCAGCTGGGCAGAGGATGGCGCTCAGCCTGGGCTGCTCATGGAGTCTCTGGGGGCTTGGGAACCGCCATACCATGGCCGGGGCTCCACCCGCAGGCCTCCCACTGGCCGGGGTTTGGCGCTCTCTGGGTGATTCCAGAGCGCGGAGGTGTGGAAGCCAGAGCCGTGCCTCCCGTGTTTGCCTCGGACTGGGCCCAGGGTTTTCTCCTTTGTTCGCATTTACATTTCTAATCCACTGTGGAATGACTATTTTTGTAAAATACAATAAAAATTAATTATTTGAAAACTGGGCCAGGGAAGGAAATACAAACTGTAAGCCCCAGTATTTTTAGAGTCAACAGACATACAGTAACTGTATAAAATGTTTAAACATTCCTTCTTGGTGCCTATACTCATCGCCGTGGACACATGGCCGTGCAGGGCCAGGCGCTGGTCTGCAGAGCGGACCTTGAGCCGCGCTGATTGGAGGCAGCGTGGCATTGTGCATGGAAGCGTGTGTGCGTGTGGAAGCGCATGTGTGCGTGGAAGAGTGTGCACGTGGAAGCATGTATGCGCGTGGAAGTCTGAGTGCACGTGGAAGCGTGTATGTGCATGGAAGAGTGTGCATGTGGAAGTGTGTGAGCGCATGTGTGCGTGGAAGCATATGAGTGCGTGGAAGCGTGTATGCGTGGAAGCGTGTGTGTGTGGAGGCGCATGTGTGCCTGGAATCGTGTGTGTGCGTGGAAGCGTGTGCGTGGGAAGGTGGGCGGGTTCAGGCCATGCAGGGCCGTGAATGCGGGCACAGATGGCTTTTTCTTCCTAGGTACTGGGAGCCGGGAACTCTGAGAGGAAGGACCCCATCTCCGCTGTGGGCGTTTTACTGTGACAATTGTGTCTGATGGGTTTACAGGGACAATAAACTGTGGACAGGGACCTGAAAGGCGAGGCCGGTGGGGAGGGACTGGGCAAAATTATACAAAAACTGTGTCCAGTTCCTGTAGCAACCCCTTCGCATATACTAATGAATTACTTAGAGGCTGTGAGAATTAAAGCTAGCCATTTTTTAAAAAGCTTAAATAATAATAATAATAAAGCATAATTAGGTGCTAAAAAATGACCCACCCGATGTGCTTCCAGAAACCACACAGATTGAAGACCCCAGGAAGCAATGGAGGGGGGAGCAGGAGAGGATGCTCAAGGACTACCTCTCGGTGGCTCGGGACGCCCTGCGGACGCAGAAGGAGCTGTACCACGTGAAGGAGCAGAGGCTGGCCCTGGCCCTCGATGAGTACGTGCGATTGAACGACGCCTATAAGGAGAAGTCCAGCTCCCACACGAGCTGTAAGTGCGGTGTGGCTGCTCACGGGAACCGGGGCCAAACGGTAGCTGATGGGGGCCACTGGGGCTCTGTGGGGCTTCCTCTGGGGTCCTGTTCCCTCTCAGCGGGGAGTGGGGCGGGCACACCGCGGACTTGTCAGGAAGGCCCCTCGGCCACATTCCAGATGAAGTCTCCTCTGGGGATCAGTATCCTGTCTGTTTCTGCCCCCGCCCCACCCCCCGGGCTGGCCTTTTATTTATTTCTGAGTTAGTTTTACCCTTTCAGGTGAAGACAAGTCAACAGCCCTGTCGCTACTCTTATACCATCTGTAGCGGGAGGAACGGGAGCCCTTAGCTGGAATGACGTGTCCCTTGGCCACCGCACCAACTTAGCTCTCCCTCATCTCCAAAACGGGCACCTGGGCTGGCCGTGCTGAAAGCAGCGGCACCGTGGGCTCGGAAGTCCCTGAAATGGTGGCTTTCGGGGTAATACGAGCCCGGTAAACTGTTACGTGCCACCGGGACCTCTAAGATTTTATTCCCTGGGGAAAACCCAGAAGAAAACGAAATACCAGGGTCTTTATGACATGTGTCTTTCTTGAGGCTTTATTTCTAAATTATGAAGGTTTGAAGATTACTTTTCATATTTAGGTGTCTGATGCATGACAATAACGAAATGATAAAGTAAGTACCGTGGCAGCATGTGACTCCTGTTCTGAGTTTGTACATTCTGAGCTGAGAACCGGCGATGCAGCCTTGCTTTTCTCTTCTCTCTTTGGAAAGTGTTCTCAGGATCCTCCTCGAGTACCAAGTACGACCCTGACATTTTGAAGGCGGAGATCTCCACCACGCGGCTGAGGGTAAGATGTTTTATTGTGGTTCCACACGGAGCGTCTGCGTGGATGCATTCGTGTTCGCCTGCCTTGTCCATCGAGCACAGGAGCCTCCTCCACGTGCCCCCGACGGCTGGTGTTTCCTTCCGCCTTTGTTGGAACTCTTCCTGTGGTTGGGATGTCCTTCCTCCTGAGACCCAGTGCGTTCCATTGTCGGGCAGTTTTATGATTGGCAGTTAGGACATCGAATCAAAACTGGAGTCTTGGGAACTTCCCTCCCCTTATCGTGCTGACGTGACTTCCGGAGCTGAGCCTTGCTGCCCTTCCATCAGATGTCCCGCATTTAAAGATGCCCATCTTCCGTCAGCAGTTGCTGCTTTCTAGAACTGACTAGTCAGCACTTCTCATGGGTGTGTCCCCGTCTTCACCCCAAATCTTTTTGACCAAACTGCTGTTAAGGCCAGAGCTTGTTCATCTTTGACTTTTAGAGTCATAAACACTGTTCACCACGTCCATAAATCCATGTAACCATTACCTATGTCCTGAGATAGATTGCTGCCCATGACCCCTCATGGCCGTCTTCCTTCTCTCTGAAGGATCTGACCCATCAACACTGTAGGTCAGTCTTCTGGCTGCTTTGAACGTTGTGGAACTGGAATGCCACCATATATATTATCTGATGGCTTCTTTTGCTCAGCAACACTTTGAGATTCATTCACATAAACTTTCATTGCTGTAAAGCATTCCACCTGGGGGTACACACCATAAATTCTTTCTTCTATTGATGTGCATTACTGCTTATTCCAGTTTCTGGTCATTAAAAACTGTGCCTTAACGTACATGTCTCCTATACATGTCCTTTGGGGCACATATGTACACATTTTTGTTAATTATGCAACTAGGAATGAAATTGCTGTGTCAAAAAATATTTATAGCTTTCACTTTAGCAAATACTTAGAAATGATTTGGGACTTTCTTACTTTCTAACATTTGCTTTTAAAGCTCTAAATGACTTTCTGCGCGTGACTTTTGCCTGCAACTCCTAGTTTTTGAATTTTGTGTTTTTATCAATCAGTTCAAAATATTTACTAACTTTTGTAACTTCTTTATGATTAGAGTCTGCTTAATTTTTAAGTAGTTGGGAATAATCTTTCATTATTGATTTCAGCTTCATTCCACTGCATATTTTTTAGTTCTAAAATTTCTATTTAATTGTTTGGATACTTGCCCAATTGATATATAATTTTTTAAACAAAATAATCACACTTACTTTTTCAGTTTCATGTCTTGATTAGGATAATACCTAGGTTTCTTATATATTGGTTTCTTCAATATGGTCTGAAGAATGGTTTTGATTTGGGGTCAATATTTGACCTCTGACAGCTGCTTACTTTGTAGTAAGAGCCTTATGTATGAAAACACATAAAGATGATTTAAGGTTTGGGATGATCTTGTCATCCTTCAGAGCGAAGTTTTGCTTCTTGTAGGAAGACAGGCCCGGGACGTACAATTTTAACTCGGTCAGGGCTTGCGCTCTCTGAAATCCATGGAAAGAATATCCTCCGGTGAGGATTAACAAGAACAAAACTAAACAAAAAGCCAGCGTTTCTGTAGCTGGTTGGAGAGGAGGAAGCCAGATGTTCAAAGAGCAAGGAGCATCCAGGGCACGGTTTCTGTATTGAAGGTGGATACACCCACAGGAAAAGGCCCTGAGAGGGACCTGCGCTACTTGCCAGGAAGGAAACCAAATCTCAGTCCCACCTGGACGCACAGGAACTGAATTCCGCCAACAGCCAGAATGTAGTTGAGAGCGGATTTTCCCCGTGACCCCCACGTGAGCACTCAGCCTAGCTGACACCTCAGTTTCAGTTTTTGGGTACCTTGAACAGAGAACTAGCCAGATGTTTCTTGTGACCTATTAAATGAGTGTTATTTTAAGCTGCTAATTTTGTGATATTTTGTTCTGTAGCAACAGAAAACTGGTTTAGCAGGCCACATATAGTTCCTGTCATAGGTTTTTCTTTTCACTTTTCTGAGAAAAGTAGTAAACACATGAAAACCATTCTTAACTCATGAGCCATAAAAAAATTAGGCCGTAGGGTGGATTTGACCCACAAGCTATCATTTAATGACCCCTGCCCTAGAATAACTACTAAGAAAATACAGAGGTATTACCAATAGTGGAGATAAAATGGAATTTTAATAAAATGTAGTCAATACAAAAAGAGGCAGGAATAGAAGTAGAAAGTATAAAAGAACATATGTGACAATTAGAAAATAAAGATAGACAGATTTAAAACCAACTATGTCAATAATTACACTAAATATAAATGGTATAAATGCTTCAGTTAAAAGATAGAGATTATCAGAATGGTTAAGATAAGAACCAACTCTATGATGGCTATAACAGATCTACTTTAAATATAAATACCCAGATAGGTTGAAAATTAAATGAATGAAAAAGACATACTATGAAAATACAAATGCAAGAAAAGTTGCACTTGACATATTAATATCAAAGTAAACTTTAGAACAAGAATATTACTAGAAATTTTCTACTAATAAGTCAGTTCATCAAAGGACATAATGATATATACACATAACCCTAAAGTGTTATACATATAATAACAGAGCTTTAAATATCTGAAAAAGACCAATAGAACTGAAAGGAGAACTACAAATTTACAATTATAGTTGGATATATCAACATCCCTTGCTCCGTAATCGATAGGATATACAGACAAAATCAGCACAGTTGTTGAAATTGTGAACAGTATCATCAACCAAATGAAATGAACATGTGTAGAACATGCCACCTCAAAATAACAAAATATGTGTTAGTCTCAAGTGCACGTGGAGCACTTACAAAGGACGCCGCCCTCTAGGCCATGCTGAGTCCTATGGGAACGTACTGGTTTATTTTAATTGCGGAAATCTAGCATTGACTTTCCATGTTTTTATCTATTTGTACCTCAAGTAGCATATCTCATAAATGTTTCACATAATGTTTCTCATTGGCTTTGTGGGGTTTTTTTCTTTTCTGTTGTTGGTGACTGAATTCATTCATTAGTCATCACAGTGGCTCTGAGAGTACCTGGGATTCTGTTTGCCTCGATTCCTTAGTCAGGGCAGAAACGTCTTCATTATCAATCCTGTGACTGTTGAGCTGACATCTCGTTTCCGTTCAAGGTGAGGGTGTTTCCGTTGAAGGTGATGTGGATGCAAGGAAAGAGAAGGCCCTTCGAGGAGCAGGTGGCAGGGCCCTGTGCTGGCCTGCTGAGGGGCCCTGGCAAGACCGTAGAGAAAGGGTACAGAGGGAGGACGTCATCAGCAAAGGCCGTCTGCTCTCCCGGCTTTACTGTTGCAGGGTTCACTGTCGGGCAGACAGGAAACCTGCCTGTCGGGAGCCTTCCAGGATCCCACGTTTCCGGAATGTACTCTTTCCTTCATTGTCATCTTCTTTCTCCTTCTTCTGAAGTAAAACTTGTTACACTAGGGTTGTCAGAGACGGTATCACACTTAATCACACAACTTCCTGGCTTTCAGAAACGGCTTGAAAATCGATTTGAAGTGCCAATTGCTTCAGTGTAGTCAGCGTGGAAGCAGGGGGTGTGAAAAGTCAGCTCTCTTACCTCCGCTTCAGTGTTCTGGGCTGTGGGTTTGGTTCCTGAGGAAAGGTCTGGGCAGTTAGGTGGTTGGCTGGGGCTGCAGGAAGTCTGGCACGCCAGGGGAGACGACACAGGCTCCAGGGCTGTGGCTCTTCACGTCTTCCGTTGGGGTGGATCTAGGAGTAATGGCGTTCCTACACGAAAGTAAGGGCCGTAGATTTGTTTAGGTCATTTTGCTACAATCCCAGTCTGCCTTGGATCTTACAAGCACAGTGATGTCATTATAACTAAAACTGTTACAATTGTGGTTCTTAAAAAATTCTGCCGGATTCTAAACTGCTCTCTGCGTAGTAACAGCGAAGTCCTCAGTTTCATATCTCTAGTCCAGACACTGCTTATGAACATCAAGTCCACGTGTTCCAATTGCCTTTGAAGTCTCGTGGGTCTCCGGAAAGTATCTTAAAGAAAATCCCTGATCTTTCCCCCGGATCTGGTCCCAGTCTTCAGGAAAGCACCTTCGTGCACCCAGCTGGCAAGTCAAGACCTTGGACGTGACCTTGGCCACATCTTCTCCCCCACCCGCCACCCCTGGTCCATCACCACGTCCTGTTGGTCTGCCTCCACGACGTTCTTCCTCTGGGCTCTGCCTCTGTGGCACTGCCCGTGCGCCAACCCCCAGTGCTGGTGCCTGGCCCCTGCTGGCCCCTCTGGTCCGCTCACCAGTCCTCACAGTGACCTTCTAAAATCTTCAGCAGACCATCCTCTAAGATTCCTCCTGGATTCTTACTGTTCTTAGGATGGGAGTAGAGATCCTTCACATGGCTGCTGCAAGCCCTGTGAACCAGGCCTCCTCTTCCAGTCCCGTCTCCTGTCACACGCCGCCTCTGGACCCCAGAGGTTTGCTGAGCTCCCCCTCCCCAGGACGAGGGTTTGTCCCCAAGCTCTACCTTCCGAGAACCCTTCCCACCACAGGCAGGCCCACCGAGCCTCTCAGCCTAACCATCGCTTCCCAGCAGGCTTTGTCTGGGACCTCAGACCACATCAGGGCCCAAGCTCCCCTGTGTCCTGAAGTGTCCTGAATGTTCCCTCTATGTCCCTGTGGTAGTTGGTGAGATCCATCTCACTGGGTCATCTTGCTCGGTGTCCGGCTGCCCATGGTTCCAGAAGACCAGTGAGGGGGGTGAGAACAAAAGGGGGAGAGAGACGTCATGGACATGGACATCAGTGTGGTGATGGTGGGGGGTGGAGGGATGGCAGTGGGAGGTGGAAGAGGGCAAGTGGGGGTGGGGGGAGTTGTTGGAAAAAATAAAATTGAAAAAAATGACACCGTAGCAGCCATGAAAGTTTGGACAATTATAAAGTTTTGTTTGTTTGTTTTAAAGACCACTGAAGGTCAAGATTGTGTCTGTTCTGTTCACACAGCAGACCCAGGACCTGGCACCTAGTGGAGAGTCAATAAATATTTGTGGAATCGGTAGAATTAACAGGAAATAAAAGCCCAAAAGCACATGGAAATAATGTGTAACAGGATACGCCCGAGACTCAGGCTGTGCCTTAGCCTAGAGACAAGTTTGCCGGCCGGTGGAGACCACTGGCCTGACCGCTCCAGGCTGCTGCTGTCCTGCCCCCCAGGTCTCAGGGCTGTTATGACCGAGGAATGTATTTGGCAGAAGGAAAAAGGAGACTTTTTATCAGTTTGACATCAAATATTTGTAAGCCTGGTCGTGCTCTGGAAGCTTGGACTACAGCTGCGTGGTGCGGCGTCCTTTCCCACGGGGAGGCAGGAAACCAGGGCACAGAAAAGTGTGGCTTTTGAAAAATGCTGTGGACTGAACGAAACAGTGTAGTGCATGAGGGGGTGGCTAGGAGCGGTGAAGTGTGGCTGAGACCTGAGTGGCAAGGAGTCAGCGACTGGCGGTCTGAGGGGACAGCGCTCCAGCAGAGGGAACAGCATGTGCGGGAGCCCTGAGGCGCCACTGCTGGCGTGTCTGAGAGGCAGAGGCGTGGCCAGAGGTCCTGGAGCCTGGGCAGGAGGCGTCCAAGCTCCTAGATTAGCGATGCCTCGGTTTAAAGCCCCGGCTCTCCCTTCCTGGCGGTTTATCACCAGCTGGAGGCAATGGTGATGCCGCGCTCGCAGGAAAGCTGCTAAGTAAGATGCTGGGGGTTAATGCCAGCAGGAACGCCTGCCACTGGCGATTTATACACAGTGAGTCCGCCGGGCACAGAGCTTATGTCCAGGAGAAACTAGCAGAGTGAATGTTCAACTAAGACTGTGTGCATGTGTTTAATAGTTTACTACGGGGTTATCTGTTAAAACAGTGCTGCTAATTATTTACAAACATGCATATTTACATTGATTTCTCACAAAAGGTTAAAAAGCTGAAGAGGGAACTCTCGCAGATGAAGCAGGAGCTGTTCTATAAGGAACAAGGCTTTGAGACCCTGCAGCAGTGAGTATAACGCCCCAACGCTGGCCTCGGGGTAACTCCCAGCCCCCGAACTCTTGCAAAGGAAACGCAAGTGCAGACCCCCCACGACATTCCACAGGCCAGAGCTCAGAGCTCTGCACCGAGAAACAAAATCAACCAACAACCTAGACACTTGGGGAAATCTATGTCCTTTGAAAAGGGCTAAAGTTTTTATTACTCATTGGAGACCCAAGGGAACCAGTGAAAAACTCTCTCATCTCCTGGTACCTGCGGGCTGCTCGAGGGCTGAGGTGGGGAGCTGAGAGAGGAGCAGGGCTGTGCCCCCCACATTCTCCTCCAGGCTGCACTGCGCGCATCTCCGGGGCTCCGGCCGGGCTGGAGGTGCCTCTGCCCCCCTCACCTGGGCATGGCTTGGAGTCTCCCCGGGGCTGAGCTCAGGGAGCAGGGGACTGTCAGCACAGGAAGTGAGGAGTTCCCCACTTCCCAGTGCCCTCTTCCTTCCCAGGCCCTTCGCGGGTTGAAGGATGAGACGAGACTCAGGGTGTGGGAACCGGAAACCCATGCCCATTCCTAGCCCCGGAAGCCACTGTTCCCCCTACTGCCAAGGCCGGCCTAGCTAGACCCTGACAGGTCCCCAAGACCTCCCAACTCTCCCAGCCTCTACCCAGAGGGCCTCACGGTCCCCACCCATGGGCCCTCCCGGTCCCCACCCACGGGGCCTCTGGACCCCCACCCACGGGGCCTTCCATGCCAGGAGGAAGCATGGCCCACAGCCCATGACCACAGAGAGGCTGGAGGGCCTCGCCCCCCCGAAGGTGTGCAGCTGCCTGGACTTCCCTCTGTGATGCGGGGCTCGGGCACCGGCTATGGGCAGTGTTGCAGGGCTTTCCTCCATCACCAGGGTCCCCTTCTTCCCCATGTCTCCCTCAGGGGTAGCCCAGCTAGCAAGGCACCCCCCCTTCTAAAGATCCCTTGTCGTGGCCGGGCAGACACACTGATGGTTCATGTGTTGGATGATGAGTTGTATCTCGGATGCCCGGTCACTCTGGACCACCAGTCATGTGACTTGACTTTCAGACACTAGTTTGCTGGCTCATCTTCTTTTCTGCCCACTCACCTCCTGGAATCCCGGCCATGATGTTCTTTCAGACGCCCCACGCTCAGATATGAGCACATGTTAGAGTCAGGGGGTGCGGGGGCTAAAATATCCTGTGTCTGGTCTGACCCCAGGTGTATTTTAGGAGGCCTAGGTGGGTTAAATGTAGCTGTTCTAAGAGTTCCGTTGCTTGAGAGCCCCTAAAATGTGGGCAGATCCAGGGGACACAAGTGTGCGTTTAGTAGTTGCGTGGCCGCATAAAGGGGGCTTTGTGGCAGGAGTGGGGAGAGACAGATGCGGGAGAGCACCCCCCGATGTTGAGCCACACGGTAAACATTTCTCAGGCACGTGAAAGTGTAACCCGCGTTACCACTGGGGTGAAGGTTAGCCAAACTCGCTGTCTTCGTTATATCGATGAAACAAAGCTGTATTGTCTCCGTTTTTATAGGAATCTGAGGCATGTTTAAGAATCTGTCAATAACATTCCACAAGAAAACAATAGCCGTTTGTTGTAAAAACGCAGGCATTCTCCTGCAGCGATGCTGGTCCCGCCAGCCGGGGGACGAGGACACGGTATCTAACATCAGCAGCCTCCCTTGTCCGTCTCCCCCGGCGACACAGTACAGCTGTTCCCATTCCAGCCGCAGCCCCTGCTACCAGGACGTTGGATAGTAATGATGGAGCCCAGAGACCATACTCTTCAAGAAGCCACGTGCCTGGTGCTATAAAGGAACTTGTACTGGGTTAGGACAGAAAGTATGTTTCAGGAAAAGATTTAAATTTCCCATTGCAGGCTTTTGCAACTTCTCACTTATTCACAATAGAACGGGACATTTTTGTTGAATCTGGAGTTACCATGTAACTTAAACCCGGGCTTTCATTTACTGGGTTCAGTAGTTTATGCCGGATGAGTGAATGGGGTTTTATCCTCTAAGTTATTCATGTTGTTCACTCCGTGGCCCCAGATTTGACCTTGGCCTAAGCGATAGTGCAGCGGGAGTGTAGACGGAGACCAGGAGGAGCATATTGTGCTGCCCCCCCATGTTCACGCGATCGGAGGGGAGGTGGTGAGGCCCCAGCCAGCACAGGCCCCGAGGGAGGCTGGTTCCGGGCACTTACTTCCCGGGAAGGCGTGCAGGTGGCCATTTCCTCTCTTCCAGAGAAGACTAAGACTCAGATAAACATTAATTACGGGGACACACAAACCCAAAGGTTTAAAAAAATATATAGGGAGAAATATACAATGGTTTTTCTCAAATTAAGAACAAAAAACAGTATTTTGTTTTAAAAATCATGCTAATATTTTATTATATTGTCAGTTAGGGTCAAAAGAGAAAAAAGATGAAAGGTGAAAAGTGGAGGAGGGAGGGAAGAGGCGTGGAGGTAACTGCCCCCCACATTCTGCTCTGGGGGCGGGGGGCACAGTGAGAGCAGAGAGGCTCCAGGGGCAGGAGTGGGGGAGACTGACCCACGGGCCCTGGGGGACGGGGCTGGGCTGCCCGTCCCTTTCAGATTCAACATTCGCTTGAGCTGCCGATAGCCAAGAATTGTTCATCCATTTATAAAGCTCGTGAAATGTAAGTTTGCAGTCTTGAGATCGTTCTGCTTTTATTTTTAAAAGGTAAAGTTTATTCCTGAAAACCGCTTACCTGCTTTGTTACTTTATTTTTATTGATTTTTTTTTTTTTTTTTTTAGAGAGGAAGGGAGAGAGATAGAGAGTTAGAAACATCGATCAGCTGCCTCCTGCACATCTCCCACCGGGGTTGTGCCCGCAACCCAGGTACATGCCCTTGACCAGATAGAGGAGGGCGGGGAGATAGAGAGAAACATCAGTGTTGAGAGAGAATCATTGATTGGCTGCCTCCTCCACCGGGGATGGAGCCGGCAACCCGGGCCTGTGCCCTGACCAGGAATTGAACTGGTGGCTTCTCGGTTCCTGGGTCGATGCTCAACTGCTGAGCTACACTGGCCAGGTTGCTTTTTTATTTTCAAATGTCAAAGTTGATTTCTGAATTAGAGATTTGTTTTACTGTTGAATTCTGAAGGTTTTACCCAAATAGGAAGAAATTACTTGGGCTTTAGAAATTTACTTTGACACAGTTTGAGACACCTGTTACTAGCCATTTCATAAAATCAAGCAGAGTTTTTAAAAATTCAAAATAAGAATTTTGCCTCCACTAAGTTTAATACTTCAGGGACCCATCGACTTCACTGATAAAACCCTCCCCACATAAATGGAACTCACCAATATCCTAAGTGCTCCCAGTGTTTTATCAGACACTCTCTGTGTCACAGTCCTAGGAGCCCAAGGCTGAGGCTGTCACTGTGAGGAGTCCCTGAGCAGCTGGAGTCCAGGCCCTTCGGGGCTAAGTCTGCATCGCCTCTGGCCTCGGAGGAAGTGACAGGGTTCTCCAGGGCCCCTCCCACCCCAACACTGTGCGTGCCTCATCCAGTGGTTTCGTTCGCTGCACTTCATCTTCAAATGGCCTTAGGGTGAAACTGACTTTATTTCCTTAGATTCCTTGAGACTTTCTTGTTTAGCAGCAGAAAACATTTACTAAACTCGCACTTGGGGAAGTACGTTGTCTGCACCAAGTTTACTTGTTTGAGGGAACTGTGGAAGAGTGAATCCGATGGCATTGGTCTTGTTTTCTCAGATGGTACCTGTCACATTGAAATTACTACAGATTATTAAATGTTAAACACCCAGTGAGCGGAGAGCCAGTGTTCTGTGATGTGCTGGGGGCTCTTCTCTGTGAGAAAGACTGCGGAGAAGGAAGGCTGTGGGCTGTGTCCAGCGTGGACCCTGGGCCGGTGGTGGGAGAGCCAGGAGTGCGAGAGTGAAGATGCTGACCATCGCTTAGGAGGACTGGGTCATCCGGTTGGGCCCTTCAAACACAGACAGTTAGGGTCCATGACGTCCTCTGACATGGGCGGCCAGGTGAACTGCAAGGACATTTGGGAAGCAGAAGTCATTTGGGTAGTACATCAGCCACTGAAGACTCTATTCAGTGGGGGTTGACAAGGGAGCTTGCCTGCCCTTCTGCCTTATTCCTGGTCTTGAACTCATTCAGCAAGGCAAGCAATTTACCCCACTCATAGGCCTGACAAACGTAAATACACCCGTATGTTTAAAAGGAAGGAGAGACTAACCACACGATCCAGAGGTCACAGGGCGCTCGCCGGTGTGAGCAACAAGCACCGCCATGTAGGAAGGCCTGCCGGCTGCCGGCTGCGGCCCGGGCTGGGGTTGCAGACCTTCTGCAGTAAACTCGGCCACAGTGCCGTGTAGGACGTCCCGCCAGCTGCCGGCTACGGTCCAGCCCGGGCTGGGGTTGCAGACCTGCTGCGGTAAACTCGGCCGCAGTGCTGAACCCCGGAGTCCCTGTGCTTGTTCCTCTGCCAGGTCGTTTCCCAGTGCCCTGGCCCTTTCTCAGAGCCAGTCAGGGTGGCCTGTGATGAGGTTTGAGTTCTGCCGGCAGTGGGGTCACCCAACAGACCGAAAGCAAAGAGGCATGAAAGTGCTGGGAAAGGGCCTGGGGGAGGCGGGAGGCGGGCGGTGAGAGGAATCCCGGCCGGAAGTGGCTGGAAGAGACAGAGGGGCGCTCCTCTCTGAAGGAAGGTCTGACCTGTGAGAGTCAAGGGCTGAAGCAGTCAGCCAACTAACCCAGCCCAGACCAGTCCCTCCTGCCTGTTGACCTTGTACTCAGTCATTCTTTAACTTTTTTCCTTCTCTTTTTTTTTTTCCTTTTAACAGAATTGATAAAAAAATGTCTGGAGGTCAGAGTGGCTATGAGCTTAGCGAGGCCAAAGCCATTCTCACGGAACTGAAATCCATCAGGAAGGCCATCAGCTCCGGAGAGAAGGAGAAGCAGGACCTGATGCAGGTATGTTACGGGCACTTGGCCGAGTCCAACCACTGCCTTCCGGGCCCAGAGACTCCCCTGGAGGCAGGCTCCTCCACCCGAGTCGGGGGCCTCCATCACCCTTCCCTCCGCGCGAACCGGGCCGGAGCAGATGGTTCCGGCTCCCACGCTGCCTGGGAGGGAAACGCTGCCCCCGAGGCCCCTGACCTGTGGGTCGGTGGGTGGTGGGTCCTAGAGCCATGCGAGATTAGCATCCGTGTGCTCCCTGCGGCTCACGAAAACTTCCGGTGGGACCCTGACCAGCAGGGTTACCTAAGCCCCTGGTCCTTAGCCCGGGACACATGACGGGCATGGCACCTGCCATCAGGAGGTGGAAGACCTGCCTTGCGGGGCGGGATCTATGTGAGGATCTTGGAAAAGCACCTCCGCCCAGGTGGTCGTCCAAGTGGCGTGGGGAATGCCGGCCCCGCAGGGCGTGGCTGGGTGGTCACCTAGGGGGTCTGCAGGCGCCAGGAGAGCCCCTCGCTACCCCTGGAACCTCAACATACAGGTCTCAGCTCCCAGTGACCCAGCCCCGTGTGTGGAAACAAAAAAAGCCACCACCGTGAGGTGATCAGCAGTCTGCATTCCGAGTGTCTCCGCTTAGCAGACAGCCGGGGATCTGTGCCTCCTCCCCCTCCTTCCGTCCACGACTGTCCCAGCTGAGGGTTCTCTGTAGTCCAGATATTTGGCGTCTTCCCCCAGCCCAGTGAGGCTTTCGTCTGTGTCTTTGGGAAAATGTTAGAGCCAGTGGGGATGTTTGCTTTCCTAATAGATCCTCTAAACTTAAATATGATATTCAGCTACTTCATGCCAGCTTTCAAAATGCTAGCTGGAAATAGGTAAATTTCTTGAACCCATATAAATTTGCATTTTGGCAATGTTGAAATAATTTGAGAGATCAAATAGGGAAGACAACAGTAATAATAACAAATACTTAAAAGTATTGGCTCTGTGCCAGGCAATTGCTGTGCCCTTGCATAGAAATAATTCATTTAATTATCACAATAACCTAAAGATGGGCCCTTTTATTATCCCAATTACCAGACAAGGAAATCACGGCACAGAACAGTTAAGTAACTCACTCACAGTCTCACAGCTGGTAAGTGACAGGACTCCAATTCACACCCAGGGGTCTTACCATCATCATAACACATACAGGACTTTATTTGGATGTATTGCTTTTGCTTCACAGTGGTCCTGCTGATTAAATCGATAGTTTCTGAAATGCACATAAAAAAAGCCACTTGAAAAAAGTTAATGGAACTTGAACAAATTTATAGTTGTCAGCAATGTTAGGTCATTTTGATTCTTCCTATAAACTTTGGGTTTATACACAAGCCAGATTAAATGGAAAGAAAAGATTCCGTTTTAATTTCTCCAGTATATAAAATAATCAGTAAATACAGAAATCAACAGGAGAGCTGAAGTGGCATTATTATCTTTGACTTTCAAACCTCTTTAGCCACAACACACAGTAAAAAATATAATGTCAAAACCCACTCACACACAGATGCCTTTCCTGTGGATACACACAGAACAGACTTCACAGAAACATGCCTGCTCTTAGTGCCAGTAATGCCTCAGACTTCCTTTCCTGGGCCTTCTGTTTCTTAAAAAACTAGTCAGGACCTAGATTGACCGAGTGCATTGTCGTCACAGGCAGGTTTGGAAATGCTAGTCTTTTTGCTGCACAGATGGAAAAGTTGGAAAGACTTGCCAGTGTCACTAAGCAATTCCTGGGTTCCTTTCTGTGACATACCATTTGATGTGACCATTTAAGGCTTGTCCCTCTCGTGCACACATTTTGTATAAATATCCTTTTGAAAGAAGATAGAGAAAGTTAGGTAAAAAAATATGTATCAGATACCCGATGGTTCTAATTTCTTACGAGAATTTTACATATCAGGGTCAAGTCTTGGTTCTTCATAAGGTTGGTAAGTTTCTCACCATTTTTACTAGTGTTCTGTGGGTTTGTTATGCGTTGGTGGCAGTTTAGCTACAGTTTTTCCTTTCTCAGGCTTCCGCTTGCACCTCCCGCTAAGGCCGCCCAGTCTGTTACCCCCGGTGCTGGCAGAGGCACGTGCACTTGACTTTCACTCTCGCCACCCGAGTGTGTCGCCTTCGCAGCGCTGCACAGTCGGCACAGACGGGCTCAGATCGTCTGTGTGTCGCGACCTCTGGGCCTCAGTTTCCCAATCTCCACTGAGCCAAACCGGTTTCGGCAGTTTCCCAATCTCTGACATTACGGGAGCCACGTAATCCCTTGGGTCCGGTCCAGGTGTAGAATGGCGCCCTGCAAGACGCCGGCTAAGCACGTTTCCTTGCTGTGTCTCAAATGAGACTGCGTTATAGGATTCCGTGCTTCCGTAATTTCGACTGTGTGAAGTGAGTGGTTCTTATTAAAATAGAGGCTTCTTTCGAATGAAATTCCAAAACTAAGAACTATCTGAATTAAATATAAAGATCCCATTATTCGCAGGGTGACGAACGCCCAGGCCGTCTTGGGAAAGTTAAGATCTCATTTCATATGCTCTCACATACTTCCAGAGTCACATGCGTATGTGCAAAATTATATTCTGCTCTTAGTTTTTCAATAATTTAGAGTGCTAGGTCCCCGCTAAAATAAAGTCATTGTTTCTTCCGTGAAGATTCGTTCTCTGCGTTTACTTCTGCCCGGTGGGGCGTGTGCCCTTAGCGTTAAGCTGATGGGGTCCTGTGTGTTTCCCAAACAGAGTCTGGCTAAGCTGCAGGAGCGGTTCCACCTGGGCCAGGGCATCGGCAGGTCGGAGCCAGACCTGAGGGCCAGTCCCGCGAACTCTCACCTCTCCCTCTCCAGACAGACCCTGGACGCCGGGTCCCAGACCAGCATTTCCGGAGAGGTGAGCCACGCCCGCAGGGTGTGCTGTCCTGTTCGGGTGCCATCAGCAGGTCTGCAGTGAGTCCCCGGTAACTTGCGTGTTCTCTTAGGCGCCTTTGAATTATGTGCTGTGACAGTAAAACAGTTAGAGGTCAACAGAGGGCCTGCCTGTTTGAGAAATTAATTTCTGAAGTTATTTACTTCACATTGTATGCAGCTGGAAGCTAAATGATGGAAAATTTGGCTCCTGTGCTAAATGAGGAAATTAGCTCCAGTCCATAAATTTTATTGACCTGAGCACCTTCATAAACTCCTGGGCACCAGAAACATTTACCTGATCTTTTTAACCTTACGTTTAATGTGTGGAGAACATGCTGTGAAAGTCTTTGAAAGACAGACAAGTTTGCATTAAAAAGGCGACGTTTTGCCCCGACGGAGACTATAGAGTAGTGCCTTCCCCAGCCTCTCCACCGGTGTCTCAATGCCAGCACCGGTGTCTCAAGGTCAGCACCGGTGTCTCAAGGCCAGCACCGGCTCCTTAGCTGTCCCAGGACTCGTACTTCCCAGAGACAGAAGCCGTTAACTTCCTTCCTGAGCAGATTCATGGGCTTCCTCCCTCTTGTTTTTCACTAGGTCGGCGTGAGAAGCAGGCCCAACTTAGCTGAAAAGGTCAGGCTGAGTCTACAGTACGAAGAAGCCAAAAGGAGGTGAGCCTGGGTGGGTGCAGCCGGCGGCCCGGGCCCCATGAGCGTGGCCCCCTCCACCAGCGCGGCCCGGGCCCCATGAGAGTGGCCCCCTCCACCAGCGCGGCCCCCTCCACCAG